GACCAACCACTGTTACGTAGCCTATTCGGTAGGAATAGTAACAAAAGAAAAGATTTGCAGCCAGCCACAGGTGCTGCTATATTTCTTTCCTTCTTAGTAAAGGAATGGCTATCACAGAATCAGACCGATTTCGTGAGGGTTTTCCTTCTCTCTGAACATACAAGGTTGGACTAGATAATTGCTGCAATTTCACTTCTTTGCACTGTTAAAATGCTATCTGAACCTAGAAGCAGCAATCCAGCTACCATAATGCATGTAATTAGTGTGCGATAGTTAAGGTTTAACAGAAATAAAGTGCTCTATCTTTAGTAGCTATGGACATTGAACTTTACAATCCCTGGCAACTCAGTTGAGAGATCTGTGTGTTTAGTAACTTCATTAGTTAATTCCATCTCATTGTATAATTCCACTTACTGGCAATCTGCCATACACCATATGGATGAACAGCTAATAATTTGCGATTTGACAAAACTGCTCCAGCATCATCAATATTTACAACTGAAAATACAATCAAAAGCAGGGTCCACTTAATGCAGATGTTTAGTCATGCAAATTTCACATAAATCTTAATAGCTAGTATACAAAAGGATACATGCAGGACAAAGATTTTTTTCTTTTTTAAATCAACCCAATCCACAGGAAAATTGTTTTGTATTATGTTCCCAGCCTTAATCATAAGCCGGATTAAGGTATTGTATCTGTTCTTGCAGGCGCTGTCATTATCACCGCATTTTCCAATTACTTCTGTCCTCCACAATTACTTACATTTCTTACCTACACCACGTGCTATTGGAAATATTCTATATAATTCCATTAGCATCAGTTAATGGAATGCCTCACTTATTTCATAATGACATTTTCTAAAAGAAAACAGAGATACTAAAGTATATAGATTTTTACTTTAAATAATTTCAAATCATACCTTCAGGTATTTAGTTAGGCCAGTTCTTTTGTTTTTCCTTTGACTATGATAAAAACTCCTTGTTAAGTGTTTTACAACAGGTTCTGCATGCCATTAGACAAGAGCAAAATTATGAGATCAGTCAGGAAACCAGTGAGGAGAGTACGTGTTTCTGCCCCACCTTCATTTGACACAACTTTAATTTAAACTATGCCACTTTGTTTTCCCATTTGAATGGGGCAAGTAATACACAAGATTCTTACTTTGCAACATGTTAACACAACAAAACACTGCAGCGTGGCAAGAGAAGATATGAACCTTAAAATGATTCCTCCACAGCTCCGCATGTCCTTAATAACAAAGAATAACTCTTTTTCTAAAACTCATACTTTTTCCCTAGGTAAGGGGTTTTCTGACATTTTTGCTAGCTTTTAGGCTAAATCTGTATCAGAAATAGGATCATAAATTTTTCATGAGTTAATAGGTATTATCACAGAAATGAAATAACAGGAGTACTGTGATAATCCCAGATCATTAACATATTTCAGTATGCAAACATTTCACCACACAGATCCAGTGCAATATCTTCTTTTGTCACAGCTGCTACTATTATAAATTTTCAAAGGGTTATATGCTTTTGACACACATGTAAAGAAAATATGCATGTCCAAACACTGTAAAACACAAGCCTTAAGACCTATTTTAGACCTACGTTCCAGGTAGCCTTCCCCTCCCCGCTCCCCATCTTTCTATAACAAACTTCAGATTAAATACAAATTGCTGACCGTCTATTGGGAAAGACATTGAAACCTATGTCTGCAGACACAACATGAAAAGCGTTGCACTGGAAAATTAGGGGCAGGTGCTTCAGATTCGAATGAAGGGTGTGAATCTCTCCTCCAGGTTGGAGAGACCTCTGCAGCCTGACAGTACTGTGCACCTAGAGCTGTATGCTCTAATAAAGGTAAAGACCTGATGCACTGGAGTATTTAAAAAAAATCTTTTAGCAGGGATTCTAACTATTCATTTACCCCACAGCCCTTCTATAATCAAACTAATTTTCCTCACCCCTGCCCCCACAACCAATTTTACACTGCTTCTGATTTTACGCTGTTGGAAATGAGATCAATTACTGCCCACAGCTAATTTAAGTACTTTTCATCCTTTAAAAGACCATTACACTGGACACTGTGCCACCTGTCTTTTCCTGCTGTTGCCGAAAATGTAATTCACTTCTATCACTCAAATGTCACCTTCAGGAAGGTAAGCCTACTTCTCATTAATTAATAAAGATTCTGACTTACAGCTTTATCTAGAGTTGTGTTTTAGAATTTTTTATTAAGCTTTTGAACCTGCATGGAATTTTTTTTTAGGAATAGCTTTCATAAAAATATCAGATCTTTCTTGTTAACAAAGGAATTGACCAGAAAAGCATCCATTATGAGCCACAGAGAAAGTGAGCTTGCTTATCTACGCTACGGTAAGTCTAAGCACAGGGTTGCTTAGTTACGCTGCTGCAAACATCGAAGTGGATAGTTATGACTGCTGAACATACTTAAAAATTCTTACTGACAGTAAGACATAGTTCATGGAAAAGTACATATGTGGTACGAAGTTGCACTTTTCACTGTTATATGTATATTAAAACTGCAAAAAATACGTAATTGGAATGACAGCTTATTCTAGTACTTAAGCCAAGATGAAAAGGGCAGGAATTTAAACAGGTAAACGTCCTTAACTTTAAATATGCAATTTCAATCTCACCAAATCAAAGTTCTGTATATAAGAGATGAGCACTGGCAGGTGGTTCAACATCTTTCATCAGTGCTGTAAAAGTTGAACTGTTTTCTGATCAAGGAACTCACAGAAGAATTCTGCTAGGCTTGTCTAGTTATGATTTAACTAAGTTTGTATGAAAGTTCAGCTTAAATAGATGCCATTTTAATAATGAGGAACACTGCTGGATTCACCAGCCTAATGCTGGTCTAGGAGCACGATATGGACATCATTGTTTTTGTATGCTTAATGCTACCATGCACCAACATATCGAGGAGTGCCCCCTGAGGCACAAAACTAGAATACAGCTTGCAGAAGTAATTCTCTACTGCGCTTCTTAATGAAAACAACTTCTGTGCAGGGGACTATAGCAGATAATTAAAAAGCGAAAGACAATTGTTTGAAGCATGTGACCTCTCTGACGCTTTAAAATGTCTCTAGTATAGACGTATCTGAAAGGAAATATTTGAGAGATGTACAAGATACTTTTACTTGCCAAGGGTGTACAAAATTTGAGTATTTCAAACAAAAACATATTCTGGTTGTCAGACGTAGAAACGGCAAGGCAGATGGTTGAAAAATATTTTAATTTCATTTTCATCTGGACTCAAACTATGGAAACTTCACCCCAAAAGGAAGCCTTTGCAAAAAGCAAGGAAAACCAGACATGATGATTCAAGAGAGATCCATTTCATAATTAATTGTTAAGTCACACCTTTAAAATGTTCTAAGATAATTTTGAGAGTCTTTATTTTTAAATGCCTGTGACCCTAAATTCAGATAAGGACTCAGAACTTAACACTGTATTATTTGTTTGTGAGGTGCACTATATGCAATAACAATATGCAATATGACTTATTTTTATATATGTAACCCAATATTTGCTTTTGCACAGTGTCTTCCAAATACTATAACAAAAGTTCCTATGACTCCCAGATATTACTAGACATAAGAGTGAAAAATCAGCACCGACTTGTTATGTGCAACAAAATCAGTTGTGAGAAAGAGATATCTTTTTAATTAGTTTTGTGGAGGAACATCCATGAGTTTAATGCCACCAAAAGAATACTACAAGGAAGAATTATTCATTTACGGTTTATTGCATCGTTATTGCATATGAACGCTATTGTTATTGCTTCACTGCCCAGCTTTATTGCATACCATGGATCAAAGCATTAAGAAATGCCACTGAGCACAGAAAATAAGTGATGTATTAAAGTAATGGATTCAGTAAAGCACAATACGTATTCCAAAAAGTTATAAATACTCTGTTAATTATTAACTTCCTGAAGTAGTCTATTGCAACATAAAAATATGATAAAATTAGCTAAAAGTAGTATATATTAAAATCCAGAGATTATTCTCTTTGGAGGGATTTTCATAGCAAATATGAAAAAATAAACATCTTCAAGGCAATAAAGAGAATTAGAGTAAAATTTCCCATCAGTGTGAAAAACACTGTGAAGTATTATTTTCTTACCCAGTTTTCAGAGGAAAAACATATGAATCATTGGGTATTTACAATCGGTGGTATTCTTGAAAGTTTCATTAGCACTTGGGCAACTGAATGTCTCTATTAAAGGGACAGTGATTGCACTATCCATAATCATCTTTTACAACACATTTTAACTCACTGTTACTAATGTGAAGTTCTCTAAACTATACCCTTCCTTCCTATGCACCAAAAAGATCACTGAATTCTATTTGCATCATTACACAATATATAAGGAAAAACTGCATTGGCTTCTACACTAAAACTGTCAAATATCAGTGATCCTCCAATTTTCTTTATTACTCTAGGTGTAACAGAAAACAGACCAACTCCTACCCCGTATGCACAATACTATGAAAAGAGCTTTCAAATGAGGAAACTAACAGCTTCGAATTTACTTGCTAAAGCATAGCCCCAAAAATTTCACAGGCATGAGGAACACGCTGGCTAAAAGTCTGTTTAAATTATGTTCAAAACCACAAATATGAAAAATATTCTCAGCTTGCTCTTCCCACACAAATTGTGAATAAACACATTTTTCTCACTTGAGGAAGGACGTTCACAGCAGATAGGCTTTCTGTTATTTTCCTCCCTTGTATTTCATTATTTATAATATATTTTTTCCTTTCATCTCCACTATGCCTACAGGGGCTCTTTCAAAAAATGATTTTTAAATGTGTTAGCTTGCTTTTTACTCCTTTCACTATTACCTCACTGCTCTGTTAAGTGGCTTTGCATTTTGTCACTTAATATTCATGAAAGGTAACTAAAACAAAACAAAGGAAAAAATTGCTTAATTTTTGTACCAGAACTTTTCAGCATGTCACTTACCACCCACGGTTTGTCACAGAAGTTATAGATTGATTCCAGGGAGTTGACACTAGGGATGCCTGCATACTGCATTCCAATGATTAAGTTACGGAAATCTTCATTTTCTGCCATACTGAATGAATGCTGACGAATAAGGACAAAATCAGGCCTGAATGATCTAGCAAGAAAGAGATATATTGCTATTAGTCACTGATGAAATGATTTTTCCTGCAAGGTAAAATCTTAAAGGGGAAAGATGTCTAGCTGATGAATACAGAAGCACTACAAGAACACTTAAAACAAAGCTAAATGCCGTAAGACAGAAAAAGTGCTGTAAGCTTTACAAAAATCTCTACATTATTATTTCTTAACCATTGTTCAGAAACCATCAGCATCCAGTAAATAATCCAACTCCACTATGACGACAGACAAATTATCACAACTTTTCATTTTGTTTTCCCACTGAAAGATAATTCATTTATATAAATTCTGTGCCTGTTCTTAGTTTATTGCTAGGTACACCAGTCCCTGAGCAATGACAAACAAAAATGAAGCAGGCAAATGCCTCTGCCAGAAACTTAAGCAAGCACTCATGCTTGGCTTCTTGGGAAGAATTCTTTTCATAGTTAATGTCAGATTATTTTAAATACACGAAAAAAAGAGAGATGAAGCAACCCTGTTGCTTGCAAAAAGAATCATACCACAATTGGAGGGGGAAAAAAAAGCAGCCTTTGATCCAAACATGAAATAGGATTCACTTCTCAAAATGAACATATAAATATACAACTGCACTTCTTTTTTTCTTGTATCCAATCAGAATTTCCTGTGTCACAATTTGTGTCCATTGCCTCTTGTCCTTCCACTGTGCACCTTTGAGAATAGTCTGGCTCCAGGTGCATCTACTTAAACACTGACATTTAGTTACTAAAGGTCGTTACAGAAAACGGAAGACACAGAATAACAGGACAGAGTACAGGGGCAATTCAAAGATTCTCCTCTGTATTCAAATTTTACCAGGTGGATTGACAGCCTGAAGCCATCAATCTCCTGAAAGAAGTATAAGTGAAGGTTAAATTAAATTAGTGTAATAAATTAGTGCACATTATTTTCATGCCCTTAATAAATATGAGCTGTATACTGGAGTGAAGAATTTCACAGACCATAAGATGATGCAGAAATCTCACTCCAGGAAAAACAAAACAAAAGCAAAACAATGAAAACTCATGTTCCTATCTCTTAAGTAGTTTTGAAGTTTCCAGCCTGAATGAGTAGTCAAAGTACATCCGCTGGATTCTTAAGTTGGCTTTCAAGTGTAACTCATAATTTGGCGCAAGCGTGATTATGAAGATTTGCAGTCAGTAGTCGTTAAATGCCACTGTAGACTGGATGACCAAGTTTCCAAAGAATATTTGTAGTACAGTTCTGAGAACCTGTGATCTAAATTTCACAGGGGAGAGCCAAGTGTGTGAAACGTAACGAAACTGAGTTTACTGACATAGCATAATACTTAACAGAACTAATGATGCCTTAAGCAAAATTGCAGACCGCTCAGTGAAAGCTAGAGACTTCACCTCTGTTGTTTCAAATGGTGCTAAGGGGATTACAGATCATCTCAAAGACGGCACTGTGCTCTTATATAAAGGAAAAGAGCAGCAAGTGTCCTTTAAAAAATAAATTTAACAAACCAACTGGGAGGGGGGAATGTTCCTTTAAAAATATATACACATACATATATGTATGTATATACATATACACACACACACACACACACACATTCTGCTGTGCAAAAACTTCTCAAAGGAATGCAATGTATTGACATAATTGATAATCACAGAATCACAGAATGCCAAGGTTGGAAGGGACCTCTGGAGACCATCTAGTCCAACCCCCCTGCTCAAGCAGGGTCATCTAGAGCACATTGCACAGGATCATGTCCAGGTGGGTTTTGAATATCTCCAAGGAAGGAGACTCCACAATCTCTCTGGGCAACCTGTGCCAGTGCTCAGGCACCCTCACAGTAAAGAAGATTTTCCTCCCATTCAGATGGAACTTTTCGTGTTTCAGTTCGTGCCTGCTGCTTCTCATCCTGTCACTGGGCACCACTGAAAATAGTCTGGGTCCATCCTCTTGACACCCTCCCTTTAATAATAAATAATAATGCAATTTTTAGTTCTGTAATTACCGCTGATCAAAATGATTGTGTATACAAAACAAAGACATGAGAAAAATTTTAATTCTGGCTCAAAAATTTGTAACATCCAAAGTCTCAGCTTTTTGTAACAAGAGATTTCACTTTTCATGGTTTGATTTTCATTCACAAAAAAAACAAGCATTTTGCCTGTTACAACAATTTTTTCTTCCACACTAAAGATAGCAAAATTGCATCACAGAAACATGAACAGATGTGTGAACTATTATTTTGATCATAAATCTGTGATACAAGGTTATTTTGGACCTCATAGTAATAAAACACAAGAATTTTTCAGCTCAATACTCAGTTAATTTAAGTTTTTTTAGTAATACGTTCGCAGTCCAGAATCCACGTGAATTCTGATACCAGTAGGACCAAGAGCTCCTCCAGGCTCTCTTGGCAGTTAAAACGGGAAGAGACAACAGAACTTGTCACACATCCTATTCTCTGAATCATATTTAGTGCCGGCTTTTAAATGAAGTTGCTTACCAACCGAACAGGTTAGTAATGTCCTTCTGTAGCTCTGCTTTCCTTAGTGACACAAGAACCATGTTCCAAGCTTCAGGCAATAAGCTTCACAAGCTAACTGACTAGACTTAAAGCAAAATAAAGATTAGCACTTACCTGAAGATACAGAACATTTTTGAAAAGTACTTTTGCTTTTCAAAAAAGTTCTGGATATTCAGATATCTACCAGACAGAGAACTGCTGTCCCATCAGGTCTGCATAATCCTTTTCAAATCAGAAAGCATGCATGCATATGCAGATATTTCACACAGATATGAGTGAAACTCATAAATTTCAGGTAGTTCTATTTGGCTAAATACATTTATATTACTCATAAAACTGGAAATATTATAAAATATTTGCCAATCCACTATTAGACTTGTCTGATGGTGAGATCAGATTTTTCTGCTTCTTAGCATAAGCAGCAGCTTTCACAATTTTCCTCATAAACAGCAAACACATGTCCTTTTAGATGCTATTTTCTTGAGGTTCCCAACTCTCATGAAATATTGATATGTTTCGATGCTAACTTGGCATCAATATTTTTGTTCTGTCTGGAAAATTCTGTACAGAAAAGCCATTGAAAGAGCAGTGATCAAAACTCTGTAGGTCTAAAACTCTATTTGTTGACAAAAAAAATATATCTTACTGTACTAAGGAAATAATCATGTGGATTTGGCATAAGTAGCTGTTGCATTAAGTTGCACTATTTTTAGAATACATAAGAGATTAAACAGTTGTAAGTTTTAAAACATGAAGTACACTTATTTTCAGTATTTTTCTTCCTGATTTTTTACATGAACCAATAGAAATCTTCAAATCTTTTATTTGAACAGATGTTGAGCAAAAATATGAAGTTACAAGAAGTGCTGTATGCTGTCCAGCTCCCTGAACTCTTACTCTTGCCTAAAGATAAACATAAGCAGTAAACTACAAAGTCACTGTTAGTGGCTCGATCCACCTCTCTGAACCCAATTGTTCAGCCAAAAAGGACTACGCTTAAGCTGTACTTAACTGCACTAACAAAAACAGGAATAATTCCCACAAATTCAATAAAGCATAGGACTACCTGAAATATTTTTTCTAATACTTACTTAAGCTTTTACTTTGCCCAGATGTACTTCTGTGTTTTCTTCCCTTACATTTATAGGGCTGTTCATGTCCTCACTGAAAAAAATGGTAAAAATTACCCTGCCTTTAGCTGACATAATCCTTATTTGGATAAAATAAACCTATTGGGGAATCTCAAGTTTTTAAATTGAAATCTTTTAAACAGATAGCATATTCCAATAACTAAACTGAGATAAGCAGTATCACTTGGCCCCTTTTACTATAAAATCCTTAACATGGGAAACAAATATTCCTCATCTAGAAAGGTCTGGCATGTACAAAATTACCAAGACTGTCATAATTTTGAAGTAAAGCCGCAACCCAAATCAATAAACCCTGACTCCCAATCATATATTCTTTCTACTAGACATCATTCCCATTTTAATCAAACCTGCCTTCTCTATGATCAAAACGTCATGAGATTTCCTGTCACAAACAGGACTTAGTGCACTGAGGAGATACCTATTTTTCCCTACTTTTTATACCAGTGAGTGAGGTACACTGCATCAGTCAAAATCCCTATTGCACATGCACAATAACACAACTAAAGAGAAATCATTCAGTACATTTTACATTCATACATTACACCATCTACTATTTTTTGCTGTTACTCAATTTAGTTTTTCTTACCTGACAACTTTAGTGCCATTTCGAAATACTTGGATATCTACTGCGTAATTGCCATCAGCATGGGCTATCAAGTTGATTTCTGAAAATTCTGCCTACAAAAAGAGGATGCATATAAGTCAGTCTGTCTGTACTTCACCTTTATTTATCTAAACCCCTTCTTTTTAGTCTTAGCACCTGAACTGCTGACAATATACATTTGAAACATAATTAGCACCAAAGGAAAATTAATTCAATGCTATTTGGCACACACGAAGCAGCATTTCTAACATACAGAACGGAAATTACAAACCTTCTAAGAAAAGACTGTGTGGAGCAGTAATGAGTATATATAGTACTTTTAGGCCTACATTAAAGCATAGAGATTATAGTTTTGCTTTGTATGGTATGTCACAGGAGATTAATATAGGGAAAAAAAATTGCACCACAGGATTGAAGAAAAAAATTACAGAAGTGATCTTAAGGTAAATAAGAGCATTTTCTTATGATATGTTGTAAGTGTGTTTTTTCTCACCTTCTCTTCACATACTTCCCCCATTTCTATTTTCTTTTTGTGCATTTACTCTTAAAGATCTGGTGTTATTGAACAATTAATTTGCAAAATTTACAAACAGAGGTTTTTTGTTTTTTTTTTTTTTAAAGTATCTTCACACACTGGAAATGTGACATGTAAAAGGATTCAATTCCATACTCTGATCCTCTAGTTATTTGAAATAAAAGGACAGGATGTTTTTCATTTATCCATGGTCTTTCATCTACTTAAGACTCTCAAAGCACTTTACAATAACATTACACAGCAGAAAAATTGAAATGCAGCCAACTGTCTTCTAGTGGATACATAAAAGCGTCTTTGCTGTCCCAGACACTGATGTAGAATAGAAAGCCTCAGAATTCTCCTTATTCTCCTCTTGAAACATGATGTCATTGAAAGTCTTCCTAAGTAAAATCTGTGCAAGGCTTTCAGAATTTAGTGCTCAGTTAAGGCAAGCGCTGGCTACTCCAACCACTGTTCCAATACAATGCCCTAAGTATGTGCTTGATTTCGAACAGCAATGTAGCTTCATTAAATGTCATAAGTTTATAAACTTTCTTGGATCAATGTTACAACGCAGGGGGCACAGTTTTAAAATTAATGTAAAAACAGTGCAAACGGCAGGAGATTGAAAAGTCTGTATAAATGCTGACAATGCTGTGGAATCTTTCATTTACTTAATCTGACACCAAGTACTGATCTCTACCATTCATAAATCGTATTAAAATAATTATAAGGATTCACAAATACAGGTTTTGCAGTTTAAAAGCTCAGTAAGTAATAGAAAATATTGTAGGTTATAAGTAGGATGCTCTAAGTACTAAAAAATAAAATAATGTTCTCTGGTATTAGGAAAAAAAACATTAAAGTAGTTGCTAGTGACTATTTGTACACAACTGTCATGGTGTTGACATTTTGCAAAGTCCGTTATGATTAGCAGTGCTCAGAAACCTCCAATTTCTTACTGAAGAAAGGAGGTTCTTCCTACAAGAGATCATACGAAGGAAACTCTGGGCTTATACAGAGCTTTTTTAACATTACACAGACTCTGTGTGTGTGTGATGTCAGCTACGTGGCTTGACTTGTCTCCTTTTTCACTTCTCTCTCTCTCAATACTCTTCAAGATCCCTGTAAAGCTTTCCATGTTTCCAAGTCAAAAACACGGAAAAGACATTCAGTGGTGTAAAGAATGGAGCAACACTAAATGTCATATTATTACAATGACCTTAGATAAGCTGGATCCACACAGGTGATAATTTTCCCTCATTCTTAGAGATTCCAACAACAAAACATTCCAGTTTAAATAGTGAAACTTCTTATGACCACATTTATTCTCAGAATTAGAGACTGAAAAGCAGTCAAAGGACTTCTTTACTGCCTTAGCTTCAGAAATCTAGTTCAGATAAAATTGTCATAATTTCTAATGCTCTTGGAATTGTATCTCCATGTTTATTCAGTGCTTTTTATTTAAAAAAAAAAACGCTAACGTTGCAACTAGAGTGCCTGTATATTCTTCAATTAAAGAATTACTAGTGATACAAAAATGCAATGAAATTCATGGATTGTCTGGGAAATTCATAGTCTGTAAGCAACAGCCTTTGAATATTACATATTTTTAACATCGTCTAAATTATTTTGGGAAACTTCTAGAAGGATTAAAATGAAAAACAATAACCAAACCTTTTAGGTTTTTACTCAACTTGGGATTTTTTTTTTTTAAAGTACATAGGATTCTCTCTCTATATATTTATATGCACATATAAATTTACACATAATATTTATATTTAGTCATTTAGTTACCTGTTCAACCTTTATGTCATATTCTCCATGGACCTTTTTTCCACGAAAAGCTTTGGCCCTGCAGTGAAAAAGGGAGAGAGAAAAATCAAGGATATGTATATCTGTAATCAGTACTAAATAAAGCTTCCTATATGGCCTTCTGTGTCTTGAAATTATATATGTGTACTAGATGACTCTATTACACATATATAAACAGAACATTTTTCTTTCCTTTGACATCCTTTTGTCCTTAAGGTCCTATCACATAGTATTTTGTGATAAAAAAGCATATCCAGTGTGATTATCAACATTAAAGTATATACTTTGTATACTTAAATGTAGCTAAATACATATTTCACTGTTAGCTATTAATATAAACTAAGTACCATTAACAAGGTGCAATACTGCTCCCATTCAAGTCAGCAATGTATATGGATATTCACATTAAGGCGAACTACATCCTACCACCATTCATGTTAACCTTTATCCCCATAGTTTATTGTTTACAAGTTTACTGGAAACACCGTATGCTTAGGAACTTTATATTGTTTTTTAAAAAAAAAATTATCAGAGGTACTGCAGGCTGCAGGCATCAAGTCTGAGTGTGCCTGAATTAAAATAGAAATATTGTAATCTGTCAAAATTAAATTAGAGTCAGTATTTCATCTCTAACAAAGGCTAATATGCCTTTGGACATCACATAGCCCTACATTTCCTTATTAACCAATTTTGGTTTTTCTAGACTATATCTTAAGATAACTTAATTAATTTGAATAAGCATTTATGAACTATATCATGCACTGGGATTGCTGCGATAAAACAGCACTGAACTCAATGATCTGTTCTTCCAGGCCTAACAAGTAGACATTGTCTTAGGAATCCGTCAGTTCTATGTATCTGCTTTGGACTTGAATGGGAATTTTTAAAAAATACTATTTATAAAAGGAAACTAATGGCATATAACACTTTGATATTGGAAAAGGGACACGGTATTGGTAATGCCTTTCTTTGTACCTTCTTTCCTCAGCCCAAAGTCTAGAGTACACTCTTCCTCTTTTACCAAATTCAAATCATAAAGCTGTTGCACAATTCAAAAATAAAGCAACACATAACATCCTCCCAAGAGTTAAAAACAAAGGAAGATATAATTTGATCCATTTTCACTGCCTGATAAAACATCATATATTATATTAAACTAAATCTATCCATCAGTGAATAAGTAATAAGACATTTCATTAATTGCTTCCAGCAAATTCTTTCCCCACTGAGGTCAAGAAGGGTTTCACCACTCATTCAGCAGTGGAAAAAACAAATTTTACAATAACTCACGGAAAACACTGCCTTTGCCAATATATTTAACAGTAAAGGATCTCTTAGGTATAACAGATAACTGATGGTAAAAGGCATACAAAATGTTTATACTGAAATGGCATGATGAAAAATTGTGAAAAATTGTGCAGTAATTCATTCTGTGCAAATAAGCAATTGGCAAGAAGATAACAAGGAAGAAAACATTTGCATTACTGGTTTATACTGACTTCCTGTGATGAATACAGATTTAAAAAGTGTGGAAACCATTGTTTTACTACAGCAGATGCATACTGAGGATAATGTGATTGAATATTTTTGCCAATAACATAAGTAGAAGTTAAATATACTGTATCACAGTTCTAACTCAAAGAAATACTATTGATCACTTGTTTTTCGTTCTGAATTTGTTCTGAAATTCCATAGGGGGAGTATGCAAATTCTCTCTAGAAAACTGAAGATGTCTGTGCACAGCTTAGGTTTTATAAGGCTGTTTATGTCGGAACATTAACTGGGCCACGTTAACTTGTAGGTGCAGGAAAGCTAAGGACGTCCATATTACTCGGGGAAAAGCCTGCAACAGCCACAGACAAGAAAGGAGGGCTTAATTTCCAAAGATAGGAACACATCTGCCTCCGTAGAAAAAAAGCAAATTCATAACAACAGATGGCTTAAATGTCTCTCCGAAAAGTTAAGATTTAGCATTCTGAAAAATTTTAAACTCTAATTCTGGTCCCAATTAATTTAATCACAATAGTACTGTTGAATTGTCCCGGGAACACAACAAACTCCTAGATTTTTTCCAATGTAGCAATAGCTGATGTAAACATGTTATTGGACAAGATGTAAAACAAATTTCATTTAAAGGAAGTATGTAGGCTCCATAATTCAATAAGGTTGCAGTGAAGTTGACTCTTGGTCACTAAAGAATAAGCTTAGGGTACTATTTAGTTTCTTGAATGATGAGTGGTAGGTAACATGACCACATATAGAGACTAAACTTCCCACAGTGCCTACCCTAACAAATAAAAAATCATTTCTTCATGAGACGAAATGGAACTAGGAAGCCACAAAGAGCCAAAGAGAGGCTCTTCAATTCTTTAGAGTTAAGTCCATTACACATATTGGAACGTGCTCAAAACATTAATTAAAGGTGAAACGCTATCCCTTGAAATGCACCTTTTCTACTTAAACATTGTTTAGATGAGGCAACTTTTAAGCAGCTAATCTCTGGCATGGTTCACATTTCAACAAATGACTTTGGCTTGGAAAATAAACAGTAAGTACTGAAATTATGCCATATGGAGCTTGAAAACAAATGTTAAACATGAAAGAACTAGAACTTTGAAAGAGACTTAATTTCAAAGCACCATTAACCATCAATGTTTTTAAAAATGTATAGTATTCAATAGATACTCTCCAAAGGTTGAGCCCCAAACTGCAAGAATTTACACAATTTCTCTAAAAAATAACTTATGATAAAAAGTCATAAGTCTGTAATCTCAGAAGAACAAACCCTGAGAAGTTCTTAGCATGCATTTGCTTTGAAATGAACCTAGTTTGCATTTTATGTACAGTACTTAGGAAATACAGTCATGCCCTGCTTGAATTACTTCCTATTTGCAATATAAGAAATATGCAATCCTATGAAAGACATTTATTTCATACTTTAATTCCATTATTTTACTAAGAGACAAGGAGAAGCAATATAATCAGTGTTACTTATTTACAGAATTTCACTTAAATATACTGTGAAATTCCTCTTGGGCTTTATTACTATCAGAACGGAGCACAGAATACCTCTCTATATCAGCTTCTAGAACACGTCCATAAAAACAAAGTAATAGTTTCAACGTCAGGATTTCTAGGAAGGGCGTTTTAAAATAGTGTGAAGTTAGCTGTCAGTTTGAGAAAGGTTAACATAACAACTGTTCCCCAATTCAAATAAAATTTACCAGCTCATTGTTTGTGATTTCTTGAATGTATGTAGAGAAGAGAAGGAGTAAAGGGTACCATTAGTCATATGAAACTCACTGTGCAAAACAGTAGCTTTCCAAAGCCAAATTTGGAGAAAATGGACAGCTACTAATAACACCACCCCTATTGGAGTAGTCAGCATGAAATCCTAGAATCTTTTCAAAATAAGTGAAATATTTATAAATTTCTAACTTCGTATTTCATTTTCTGGATAAAAACCTTGCACATTTAAAATTAAACAACTATACAAAATACAGTTGACATAGATACAGCCAAATATGGACTCATGTTACTTACTTAACTTTGGCAAGGACAATGAACAAAGTAGTGAAGACTAAAAGTGTTTTGAATAGGTTAAAAAAAAAGGACCTTAAAATTTCCCTCTTAACACAGAAACACTACATAGCAACCATATACATTACCACAGCGTCTTATTATGCGATGAAATTGATGATGTAAACCAAAGTATTGATACTGGTGCTGTTTTCAATCGGCAACAAAATCAACAGGAAAATCTGATAACATGCAATAGGTCTATAATTCTTCAGTTTACATACTTGAAGTAATATCACAATGCAGAGTTAATCTACAACAGTTTTTAACAGAGACAAAAAGTGCGCATCCAGTACACATATGGGGTTCAGTCCAGCAAACCACTGCTCCCGTGTGTAAGACCACTATCTACATAGCCTTGCCAACACTTAAACTGCAATTTGCACTTCTTGTCAACTTAGTGCAACACTTTCAGTCTGATTTCAGTACCAAAAAATAACGTAACGTGAATGCGATTTTCAGTTTGAATACTGATTTCTAGGCACTTCTGCACAGTCAACTGTGAACTAATTACTGTTCATATCAGTAAGAACACTGTATGCTCAAAAATAATCATAGTGCCTGTTCACTACAACTGGACAAAAGCTTGTTCATCAATTAGAACAGTAGCACCCTCTAGGGTGCACAAATTGCAGGCTATTAATGTGTATAAAGAGCTAGCATAACTTACTTCAAGCAAGGTAACGTACATATATACACACTGTAGTTTCAAATAACTGGTTAGTGGAAATACTATACTGATGTAAAGGTTTTGGCAGACTACTGCCACAGAACTCAGGCCAGATTTCCATGAACTAAAAGTATGGATCACTACCTCAGTCACAGAACAGGAAACACTGCAGGGATAACAAATCACTCTTCAAGTCTAAAGCTGGTTAGAAATAACTATTTATTTAATTCAAATAGATTTAAAAAATAAAATTAAGAGGTAGCCTTAGGCTCCTAATCTTTGTACCAGAAAAGGTATGGTTTGTACATGCAGCTCTAATTTCATACTGGATCAGAAATGGTCAATCTTCAGCAGTGAGCATCACCTATTAAATTAATGGAAATGCAACTGTGCCTAATGTGTCACCAGCATCCCATTTGTACTGCTAGGTAATCTGGTAACACAGAGCACTAAAAAACATGGAACGCTGACACAACATACTCTGTAATCCTGTCCATTGTTCTGTGAAAAAGGATTGAACAATCTAGTGAAATTATATGTATTAGAAATAAGGTTGCAATGATAAAATCTAGACATTCTAAATACATGATATCTAAGACAGCAGTTTCAGGAATATGTTTCTTTTCAATACAAAAGCAAAAGAACCTGCCAAGGAAATAATGGATTAAAACCGTGATCACATAGATATCGTGAAGCTGCCATAGAGGATCATTTAATAGGGTAAAAAAATGTTTTATGCTGAGGATCTTGTAGATTGTTATTCAGACATTTAACTAAATGAGAACCATAAGAAACTGGTATCAAAGGTAAACATACAATAAGACTGGCATACTATTTTCATCTTATGTGACCTAATCCACAATCTATTGGTCTTGGCAGGCCCCTCGGTCAACATCAATGGGCTGTCTCATAGAACCAACATTTGCTCTACTACTCCCAACCAACCAGTCTAGCTAACAAAATTCATCATTTGGAATGACTGTGATGATGCTATTATGACTAAATACAAGATGATTTTAAACATACTATATATACCCAGGGTTACTGCCTTGCTTTCATTTACATGTTGAGCCTTTCTGCAACAGAAAATTATAGAGACTGCCAGACACTAACTATAGAGACTGACAGACTGCTATAAGAATACAATATCATATTTAACCCCTGACCTTTAACGGTTTAGATACTCTAAATATGTTACTCAGATG